AGAATAGAGAGAATGGCACGGGAATCTAAAAGCATTGCAAAATAATCTGCGTCGTGACATTCTGCGTCTCACGTCAGAACAAGGCCATTTTCTCGCCAATTTCTCCACCACCTGTCTCTGGCTGTAAGTACTACTCGGTACCATGTTGTGGCATCTCCAGTCCCTTCCTTCAAAGACGCACAGGTCCCAGCAGCAATACTAGGGTTAGAATTTAGAAAACAGCCCGTCCTCGAGGCTGGCGTGATGAAAAGGGAATCCAGCACGGCTGATTTCGGGCTCCGCATGTCAGCCCCAGACCCGCTGCTGCACTGTGAGCGTCTGGTCTCGAGGCCAATCTCGTCCAAAGAGCCTGAATGAAGGTTGGGCCTGGCCTAAGTTGGACGGTTGGGAGTGACTTGGGGCATTGTACTACTCCGTATGACCTCCCAACCGCAGCCTGCCGGATCCAAGCACCAGTGACGTCGAGGAAATCGCGTGGCTGTGCGGAAAGAACCATAAATAGAAGAGGAGACGATGCCTCGTCAAATAAAGCTCCGAAGGACGCGCTGACATACATGAAGAGGGGAGATGTACCCCCGAAGCAGAGAGGCACGTTTTGACGCGCGCCTGTTCGGCTCGCCTAGCATGCTTGGATGTGCGGAGTCGAAGTTGAAGTCCTGAGGTTGGAAAACACCATGTCAATCAAGGTCGGTGACGAGTCATGGACCCAGCACAATAGGGTCACGATTCAGAACCACCAAACGCCTGACCAGTCAATTAGCCGGTAAAATGACCATATGCAATTCTTCTTTTCCTTACTGTATTTTCCCCCTTCTGGTTCCTCTGGCCTGCTTGTGTATGTACTACACATGGTTGCAGTTCGCCATCTTGGTTACATTGCTAGCCTGGTTCTTGCCAGACCCACGTCACTACGTACTTGGTATATACACATGCTTAAAAACTTAGAATCCCGGGTTCACATGGCTCGGCCGCGACATGCGCAGGAACAGGGCAAATGGGCCATTCACTAACTTGATTGACTGGTAGGTCCAGTCACTAGTCATTAACACAAGACACACCACGAGGATGCACCGAAGAAACTTTGCGAAAAGTGTCGCAACACCTGGTTCTACCTGGAACCGGCGTCATTTCATTAACTGTAGCATTGCAGGCCAAGTGTTGATGCTAAGGCTACCATCATTAGTGTTTCCAATTCATCAAGCCTCAAGACAAAGACCACAACGCCATCTGATGGCGCCCAGCTCATCCATGAGGCCGTATACAAACGAGTGACCGAAACACGTCGCCAAGAGAACTCCCAAGACCATCGAGGCCTCGGAGCCCCGTCATGTTTACTTCCCAAAACAGCAATCCTTGTTCAATTTCAATTAAAACCCAGCATTCGTGTTGGCCAGGTTGACGTTGGCGGCATCAAACGGAACGACGTTGCCCTGCGCGTCAGTCATGGACGGGGTTTCCGTGTCAACAACAAACTCCTGGCGGATAAAGATGCCCCTCTCCTTGACTGCCACAAGGTTAGCCGGTGTATTCTGACATTTTTTTTTCTATCAAAGGATTTTTGACGGACCTGAGGGAGCGGCCATGACGGCAGTGGCAAGAGCCAAGAGAGTGACGGCAAAGAACTTCATTTTGATAAAAGAGATGTATGCGTTCGGAGAGAAAAGTATTAGGCTTATGTGAGGAGAGCGAAGGACGAGCTTATTATTGTCGACTTTTTTGTTTAGCTGAAGGGAGTGACTGACAGACAAAGACTAACCACGAGGTGTCGTAGGAGAGCAACATCTATAGCTATATATATAGAGAGACACATATATTTATTTATAAACATCGGCCAAACACCCCTACGGCATAAAAACGCGGCATAAAAACACGGCCCAGATAGCGCAATCCCTTCGGCATCGGAGTACCCCAGACTTCATCTGATACGGTCAGCATCAGATGCAGTGAACCATGGGCGGAGAAAAAAAAATAAATGACAAATTATGGACTAAATATAGTGTCAGTCATCAACTTTGGCAGTAAGTTGAGACTGAGACCGGGCCAGACCCATCTCAAAACGAACTACGAGGCATCCCAACTTCGCCCCGGGCTGTCCCAACTATAGCCTGATCTTTATCAGACCAGGAACGCAATATATGAGATGGCCGCGGAAGGCAAAGCTTGGCATTGGCGAAACCAAGGCTTGTCGGATCGTCACATGTCCTCTTAACAAGCTTTCATACAAGGTCGTATCGGGGTGAGATACCGAGAGGAAGGGCGTGAAACGGACATGCAAGACTGGGCTGTCATGGTTCAAAACATGCTGAAACGCAGAGGTGCTTCAGGCACCGCTTTCCGGCGTGGAGCAGGAGAGACGATCACGCACGCGTGGCTGGAGTTCCGGTTAGAACAACCGCCTGCGCAGCCGTCGCGCTGGCGTACGGGCGAGGTCGTAGCGTCATAGTTCCAAGTCAATGTAAGTGATATCGGGTCCGATTGGAACCATGGCTTCCTTGGCTTATCATGTCTGGTGGGTTTGATGCCATGTTGTGGGAAAGCTGTGCTGGTGATTCTCGCCCAGCAAAGGAAGGCGGAATATCGGCGGTTTTGAAAATCCGGCTGCTTGCATTGACACTGCCTGCCATGCAATGAGTACGGTAGTAGTACTTACTTAAGTACTTAAGCACCTACAAGTAGGTTATTTCTCCTCCAATGTACTAGTACTCCGTAACCAAGCTTCGCAAATAGCCTTCGCCAGCTTTGAATGTACTCACGGCACAAGAAGCAATCACTCTGTGCCATTACTCCGTAGTACCCCGTGCAATCACAGACCGACGTGCCCTTGGCGTTTGCCTTTCCGTCCACGTCATCGCCTTATTTGCGCCTCCAACATCAATGGCACTGCACCTCCGCCCATCACAGGACCTGTGTCCCACTCTGGTAACCAAGCTCCGATATGCGTATGTACTTATACATATGTATGTATTGGCCTGTCGCCGCCCGTCGCCGCATCAGTTTTTTGATGGCGTCTGCGCCGCTCGCGCCATTCGGAACGCAGTTTGGCAGCTGTCCCCTTTCAAGCCTGGCTTGCGCAATCGCGGGGTTCCCAATGTGCTCGAGTGGGGTGACGAGCCTGATGACCCAAAAGTGACCTTCTCCGACAACTCCTCACCACGTCAGCTCGCCTTGCTTTGCCTCGCCTTGCCTTGTCTTGCCCATGCTTGCTCCTCCAGTCCCTCCAGTCTTGCAATTTCATTCACGCTCTTGGTCTTCTGCTTCCAGAGCTTAGCTCCAGCTTTGCCGTGTCTTCATTCTGCCCCCAACCACCCGACGTCGACTCCGGTCAATGCGAAGCTCCCGTGCCATTGAACCCACGTCGACCAGGTTCAAATCAGTCGCTTTCCCACCTTCTCCGTCGCCATTGTCGTAGATTGCTTCGTCTAATCAACCCACGCCCATCGTCCGGCCGGCTCGTTGTTGTTCCCCCGCCTCCCCCTGCCTCCCTGTCCGCTCAATCTGCCCTCCTGAGCGGACACGATGGCCAGCGCAGCCCATTGCCTCATGTGCTTCGAGGCCCTCGACGCCCACCTCGAGGACCGGGAGCCCCTCTCCCTCAGCGAGATCGAATCCTCCTGGGCGCTCTACACGAGCTCCGTTTCAGACTCGGAACCCGGCCCGTCCAGGAACGGCCAGGCTCCCAAGACACCAGCTCTCCGCCGCCTCGCCGCCGACGCCGACTCCTCCGCGTCCTCGTCCTCCGCGTCGCCCGCGTGGTCCTCGTCCACGCCCGCGACGTCCATGTCCTCGCTGTCGCTGGGCACCTCGTCCGCCCCGCTGTTTGTCACCTGGAACACCGTCTCGGGGGACGACGTCTCTCTGCGCGGGTGCATCGGCACCTTTGAGTCCCAGCCCCTCGGCGTCGGGCTGCCCGAGTACGCGACCATTTCGGCGCTGCACGACACGCGCTTCTCGCCCATTGTCAAGGAGGAGCTGCCCGAGCTGCAGGCCGCCGTGACCTTGTTGACCGACTTTGAGGAGGCCGACGATGCCTATGACTGGGAGGTGGGCACCCACGGCATCCGGCTGTCGTTTACTGACAGGGGCCACCGTTACGGAGCGACATATCTGCCGGACGTGGCTTCCGAGCAGGGCTGGACTCAGGACGAGACGCTGTACAGCCTCATCCGGAAAGCGGGCTGGATGGGCGGCCGCTCGAGGTGGAAGTCGCTGGAGCTCAAGGTTACGCGCTATCAGGGCAAGAAGGCGAGCTTGAATTATCCCGAGTATAAGAAGTGGAAGGATTGGGTTGTCAGCAAGCAGTGATGCCAAACGTTATAGACAAAGAGAGGTGCCGGCGTCTTGGGTTTGAGACTTGGGGGGTTTTGGGCGTTTCGAGGGAAGCGAGGGAAGCTTAGCAAGGACTTTTACCGTCGTAATACACTACTCATATCCGCCACGCTTGCTTTTGGAGGCGCGATGCTACAAAGCCCAGGAATTTCATCTTTTGCAGCTACACAAGTACCGACTAGGTACCTGGGTAGGTACATGGGCAGGAAATGACAAGGCCACCCAGGGCCCAGGGTACTCAACACATTAACAAATGGCTCTTGTGAATTCTGCCACGCTATACAAAAAGCTCGCTCGCCATACATCATAATCCCAAACATTGCATCGTCCACGAATCAACCTCATGTACATACAAAACACATTGTCGCATATCGAAACCAAGGAGTTGCAGTCTCTCCAGCCGAAACAACATTTACAAAATGAAGAGAAGAATAAGCCAACACAACCAGCCCATTTTAAAAAACCTCAAGACGCCAAACACACAGGTATGGTATATGCCGAAAGGGTGAACCCAGAAAGTCACAGCAAGAGGGAGTCGTATATCCCCCCCTTTGTCAAACCCTAAAACAAAAAAAAGCCAAAAAAAAAAAAAAAAAAAAAAAGGCACCATATCACGAGGAAAACAACAAAGGAGCAACGCTCCGCCGCCCATAGATGGAAAAAATCGGACACCATCACCAACATCGCAACTTCTTCCAGAATCCACCCTGGCCACGGCCAACAGAAGTTTGGCCACTCAGAGTCGGTCCCCGCAGTCCTGGAGCTCGCTTTTCCGAGTCGCTTTCCACAGGCAATGGGGTCAATGGCTTCGTCATGCCACGGGCGTTCATCTCGGTGTTGTCCATGACGCCCATCTCGGCGAGGCGCCTCCTCTCGACGACGCGGCGCACAATGAGGGCAAATGTCTCCTCAATGTTGACCTCGAGCCTCGCGCTCGTCTCCATGAACCCGCAGCCCCGTTTGCGCGCCCAGTCAAGGCCCATGGCGGCGGGGACCTGCCTGCTCTCCTGGAGATCGCATTTGTTCCCGGCGACGATCTTGACGGGCGGGACCGTCTTGGAGCCGCTGGCGGTGCCGGTATTGACGTGGCCCGGGTTGACGCCGGCACGACGCGCGCGCGCAGCATTGTCGAGCCGCGTCTCGGCCTCCATGTTGATCAGGTCGTCAAAGTACTGGAGGGCGTCGAGGGAGTCGCGCGACGTAATGTCGTACACCATGAGGAAGGCGTCGGCGCCGAGATTGGACGACGCCCACATGCCGCGGTACTCCTCCTGGCCGGCCGTGTCGGTGAGGGAGAGGTGGTACGTGGTGCCGTCGATGCGGCGCGTGACGCTGTAGGAGTCCTCGATCGTGGGGTCATATTCCGACGTCCACTGCGAGCGGACGAGGCGCAGCGTGATGGACGACTTGCCGCACCCGCCGTCGCCGCAGATGGTAATGGAGATTGGGACGGCGGGTTGCTGGCCGTGGGAGGACATGGTTAGCGATGACGATGGGGGAGGGGGTGCGGAGGAAGGGATTTTCTGGAGGGGGTTTTCGCGTGGTCAAGCCAGGATGCTTGACGCTGAGCACACACGGTCAAGACTTTTGCCGAGATTAAATAACAGGAGGAGACAACCCTCGATGCCCAAACAGAAAAGAAAAATAATAATAATAATAAATAGAAACAAGAATAGAAAATGTCCCGTCACGCTCGTGAATAGTCACGCACAACGCAAGCAAAATCTCTGTATGGTGCCCAAAGCTCCAAGGCCCAAAGGGGGATCGAGATGGGAAAGTATGCAAAGGCCTTTTTTAGGCAAATCTTGCCCTCCAGGCCGTGGGCGTAAAACCCAACACCGAGACCCTGTCAGTCTGCCGGCGACGGAGTAGAAGTTCTTCGAAAAAGCGTGGCGCGACTCGCAAGGATGTGCTCCAAGGTCCAGAAATTTCAGGTCCCTCAGGTCTCCTGGGTTTGCCAGGGTCCCTCGCACCTCGTGATGTTTTGACAGGGCACAAAATCTCTTGTCCCCTTGTTCTGCCTGTCGTGCGACTCGAAGAAAATGTGATGCAGCAGCAACTCGCAAATAGGCGTCGAGTCTCAAGATGCAAGATCGTAGGGCGTGGCGTCTGGGAAAACGGCACACGTCGGTAATAATCAGCTCCTGTCGGTGTTTTGGCTCTCGCTTTTATGTTCCGTCGCTGCGTACGGAGTACAAGATGCAGTGCCCGGCCGGTTTGCAAGGGGTGGCTGCTCTGGAGGAATCTATCACTGGGTGATGGTGGATGGCGTGGCGTAGTGCAAGGAAGGGTTGGAGCGTCTGATCCCTTTTGATTTTTACTACTTTTTTTTTTTTTGGCTGGGTGTGTGCGTGTGTGTGTGTTTTTTTCCTTCTTTTCCCTTCTTCTAGTCGTGGAAGAAGCAATGCCCAATCACGCTGACTGGTTGTTGTATGCGCAGCCAAGATGATACTCCTCCGCGTCGGCGATGTGGAGATTCAAGGGCAGGAACGATGAGAGGAGGGGGGAAATGTGAAAGCACCAGTGGTTAGGTGCTTGGTGCTTTGTCTCGGTCCAAGGTGCGCGGTATACACTTCTTATCTACTTGCTCGGTTGGTATCTGCTATCTTCCAGACTCCCAGAAGTCCAGATGGACCAGACCGAACAAAGAACTGATGTGCCAGCATGAGCCAAGAGCATGGACTTGGACTTGACAGGGTTCTGCTGGTGGAGGGGCAGACAGTCCACGATTGATGGGCCACATGGAGATATCAATCACTTTTTTTCCGCTTGAGAACTATGGGGCCGTTGAAAGGTGCGACAAGATTCTGTCCGTGAGCAGTGAGTGACGTGACCTCGCCAGAAGCTTGAGTCCTTGACCTTGTCAGATGGTACTGCGGCGAAGAGAGGGGATTTTAAGCCATGAGGGTGCCAAGGGCAGTGCAGTTTCAATTCCATCCGTTTAATGCAACCTACTTGAGCAGGCTCTGCTTAAATGAAAAAGTAAAATAAAAATTTGAAATCAGGAAGGAAAAAAAGGGAAGAAATACATGCATGTACGGAGTACCTAAACAGGATAAAAGACAAAAGGGTACGGAGTAGGTACCGTTCGCGTCTGGGCACGAATGTGGGGTCAGTTGCACGGTCCAAGCTGCTCAGAGTCGAGCTGCACGGACAAGCAGGAGTTGCCATGCATGGTCGGGCTGTGTCGTCTTGCACAATCCATCAACACTCAACCAGGTGATGCGTGGGAAGCATTGTACAAACCGAGGCGTGTGTTCCTGTCAAAATCATGCCATGATCGAGACTAGCGTGTGTTCCGTGGTCATTCGACTAGGCTGCAGTTGACGCCTGGCTCGCGCAAACTTGCAATGTTGAACGGCGGTTCCCTGTCTGGCGCCAGCAATGGGGCTTATATCTTGATTTGGGTAATGAGTTGAGCAGCGTGCAAGGAAAGTGGCAGGTATGGATGCTGTCGACAACTACCTCTCAGTACTTACTTACCTACCTGGGTACTTACTCAAGTAATTAAGTACTTTAAGTAGTTGCTTGCAATCCAGGCAGACGACTCGCGACGGACAGGCATTCTTACTTGTTTGCCGAGTACGGAGTACCAAGCAAGGTGTCAATACTTACTTAGTATGTTGAGAACAGACTCCAGTCACTGTCAGTGCTGGTTTTTCCCTTGCAAGCATGTATCAGGTACGTCTACGCAAACTCGGTACTACGTACTGGTACTAGTACTACAGCGCATCCAGCTTCGGCAACGACCCGCCTGGCCCATATCCAAGTCGACCGCAGCCCCGGTGACATTCTGTCATGCTGACAGGATCCATTGATGCCGGCAATGATGCCGACGTGGATGCACAATGGGTGCTGATGCTCATGGACTGCAAAACCACCAATCAGCGTTAAATTGAAAAATTGAACCGGGTCCTTGCATGTAGCTCTCGCATCATGCATATCAGCCATCCGCGGCATTTATCATTCACATTGTAATACAGCATTTGACATTTGGCAGCTCGTTGTGCTTGCATGCATTCGATGTCCCCTAGCCCCAGACAACACCTGGTACTCTGTTCGGAGTACACCTTCATCTTCACCATTGCTCAAATGGCGGGAAAGTGGGGCTTCAGGCACAAGTACTAGTAACACCACAGCCTCGACACCCAGGACATGCAAGGTCCGTCATTTGACGCCACTTTTGCGGGCTCACATCTCGCAATCCGCAGCCCCATTTCGTCTTTGGCTTAGTTATCCTATTTTTCGCACGCTTCTCCTTGGCCTGGATCCCTCTTTTCTTTTTCCTGACTCTCTATGTACATGACTAGTAATTTCATCAAATTGCATGAATTTTCTTCTCCCTCGTCCCTTCTCTACCCCTGTCTAACTGTACGCAACACACCAGCAAGACACATTCTTCCAGTCACTGCACGCCACACAGCACCCGCCTTTGTCTCAGCGCATCCCACCTTACCCTACATCATCCTTGCCTCTACTCCGTACAAGACGAAACAAAGGAAAGCAAGAAAAGAAAACAGCAATATGACCGTGACTGCCACGACGACCAATGGTCATGTGAATGGTAACGCGGCCAATGGATCAACCGCTCGCTTAAATAGAGCCGAAGAGTTGGATGATGTATGTATACGATAGCAGGACTTTGCTGCATTCCCAAGTCGTGGACTTGCGTCACATTTGCTGACGTGCATCAGCTGCTATCGGCCGTGCGCGACTTGATTCTGCCCTTTATTAAAGCCGCCGACGATGCCGCGGCTCATCGGGAAACTGGCCGGCTCCCGCTCGACGCCACTGGCACACCTCACAATGTCCTCGTCGACGCCGTCCAGCCTCACAGCCTTGCTGCACATCTCAAGTTCATATTGCCCGAGGAAGGGCAGGGTAAGCAGGGGCTGTTGGAGGGCATCGTAAGGGTGCTCAAGTACAGCGTCAATACTTGGGACCAGGGGTTTCTCGATAAGCTATATGCAAGCAACAATCCCGTATGCTGTGCCGCCTCAGGCTTCTGAAAGTGAAGCAGGATTTACATGACATGTGTTGACTTTTGAAAAAACAGGTTGGCGTTATTTCAGACATTGTCCTGTCGGTCCTCAACACAAATGTTCGTCACCCGCCCCCATGACACCACCTCCCTAGCTAACTCGAGTTCTGCGTAGCTGCATGTGTACCAAGTCTCGCCGGCACTTACCATTATCGAAAAGACGACGGGACGCGCATTGGCCAACAAGTTTGGCTTCACGGGCCCGAGAGCCGGTGGCGTAACTTGCCAAGGTGGCAGCTCTTCAAATCTCACCTCCCTGGTCGTTGCGCGGAACACCTTGTACCCGGACTGCAAGACCGAGGGCAACGCCAAGCATGACTTTATTGTGTTCACGAGCGCTCATGGCCATTACTCTGTGGAAAAGAGCGCCATGATCTGTGGCATGGGCTCATCTAATGTGTGGAAAGTACCTGTTGATGATGGCGGAAGCATGAAGGCAGATGCCCTTCGCGAGCTGGTGGTTCGTGCCAATGAGCAGGGAAAGACCCCGTTGTACGTCAACACCACTGCGGGCTCTACAGTTCGAGGTTCCTACGACCCGTTCGAGGACATCTCAAAAATATGCAAAGAATTCGGTCTCTGGATGCACATTGACGCTAGCTGGGGCGGGCCAGTCGTCTTTTCTGCCCAGCAGAGGTGGAAGGTCAAAGGATCCCATCTCGCTGATTCCATCACCATCAACCCCCACAAGATGTTGAATGCGCCCACCACGTGTTCCTTTTTGCTGGGCCCAGACATGAGCCTATTCAATAAGGCAAACACCACCGACGCCGGATATCTCTTCCACGGAAGCACCGAAGACGATGTCTGGGACCTTGCGGATTTGACATTACAGTGCGGCCGCCGAGGCGACAGCTTAAAGGTTGCTCTCGCATGGCTGTATTATGGAGCCAACGGCTTCGAGAGGCAGGTTGATCACGCATTCGATATGGCGTCCTACCTGTGGAAACTGGTGCAGCAGACGGGCAACTTCGCCATGGTGTCGGAAAACCCGCCCCCGTGCCTCCAAGTGTGCTTCTATTACGCACCCAACGGCGATTTGTCGAGCGATGCAGCGACGAACACGAATCGCACTCAGGCCTTGGTTGAGAAATTGATTGGCAGGGGCTTCATGGTGGACTATGCTCCTGGAGACGTGGGAAGTTTCCTGAGAATTGTTGTCAATGTCCAGACTTTGCCAAGCACTGTCGAGGGATTGACGAGGGCTCTGGAGGAGGCTGGAAAGGAAGTGGCTTAGATATACCGGACATATTACGGAGTAGAAAGACCTAGACCGGTTGAACTTGGGTGGATATAACGATGGCATGATAGATGGACATAGATGATTACAAGCGTGCAACAAAGCATGTTATTTTAGACAAATAAATTGATGCAGTCTGCGAATAGATGCGATTACAATTCCTAAAAATGGTCCTGGTGGGTCTGTCTGCTGGTTGG